GTAAGAAATGTGTTTAGTAATATAACAGTAATTGTTGACTAATAATATTTATTAATAACAGAACACCAGGCAGTCTTCGTTTTCAAAATATATTACGTCTCAAATTTGAATGCAACCAGCTGAGTGTCTTTTTAACTGATTTATTCAATATCATTAACTGTGCATTATTCATGAATTGATTTTGTAACCAGATAATTCAAACAGAGTAACATGATGTACTATATTTCTGGTTTCAATGTAAACAATAGTCAACTACGTGATATAGGAAAGTTTACACCTTGAAAAAACTTCTTTTTATACAATTCAACTGTACTTAATAGACCTGCTTTCTTAGTGAAGTTATAAAAAATCTCTCTAAATATATACTCTCATGTTTTAACCATATGTAACATTGTTAACAGCCTTTCTAACCAACTATACTAACAGTTATTGACATGCAACCATTCATCAAAATTTGAGGTGATTACATAATGTAATAGATATCCAAAAGACTTCATGAGACTAAACTTCATTAAAAAAAGCTCAAGATTTGGGTTTGTAGCATAAGCATACTCTGCTTTCTCTTAATATCCAGCGATAAAATGTGCCTATTAACTTTACAGTGAAATCAAGAGGTTTGAGAATGGCTTTGGGCATGCTTATCTGTGGAACTCTTCTACAAGAAGTTAAAATAATTCCTGAATGTACAGAATAGCACTGAAAAATGATGAAATTCTCCATATGCAGTAAACCATTCTCTGATCGTCATTTTTTACATGACACTAATTTATCAAGCCTATTCGGAGAAGACATTCACTATTTTGAACATCATCACCTCATGTAGGGCCAGAATTGGAAGGGTTCTCCAAATTCTTGTCCATTACACAATGTTCATCTGTTCTGTTCCGTTCTATTCTGTTATCAGATCAGATAATTTTTGTAATGTAAAAGGGTTAAAACTTAAAGGGTAAACAAAATGATCCACTTCCTTATGAAAGCCTTGCAGCAAGTTTTTAACTTTTATTCAATTGACAGAAAGAGTCCATTTTACCCTGGTTTAAAACACTTAAGAACACTCTATAGTTACTTTTCTCAACTCAACATCACTTAAAATTTGAATAATCAACACAGTGAAAAATATTTCTTTGTGTTTGGTGAATAAATTTCAAATGATGTTATGAGAAAATTACAAGTGTTTAGGAGTAACTTGTGTCTTTAGTAGTCTTGAACAATTTTTCGTTCTTCCCGAACCCAATTCTTTGTCTTCATTGCTATTAAAATAGAAAGTAAAGCTCTACAAATTTTGACTTCCAATTGACAATATTAAGTTTTAGTCACATCAGGCACTAATAAAGTGTGTTTAAAATCATCGAAGACTGCTGCCATTGTGACCATTGCACCATCATTTACACACCTATCTTCTATTTCTTCCTGAAACAGTCTGTTTACATATAGAATAAAAAGAAAAGGAGGAAGTAATACATGATATGTTCAAATAATGTTAGTGTATTTATAAGTGATTGACAAGTTAAGATAATAGTCTAATTCCACTGACATTTACAGCATGGTAATCATGTCCATAAAGGAATCATTTCATTAAGAAAAGTCTCTTTAAGAATAAATACTTTTGCTTTTTATCCTGAAATTCTTCTTTGCTTGGTGCCATGTGAAAACAGAGTAATGTTTGTGATTAATTTAGCTAGATCAATGGTGAATTATTTCTCTAGAGAGGAAATACTCTTCAGTCATTTAACATACTTTTTACAGTCCTTAACAATCGTGCTTGAGAAAATTATCAGATTTTCTAGCCATTCAATTTTAATTTTGTTACTTTTTCAAATTCCTTCTCCCTGGCTTTCAATTTGTGAATCACACATAAATCATGTGTCTTTAATATGATGTCACTTTTCTTTATCACATATCTTTATCATAATAATAAATATATAATGTGTCATATCAAAATTCTATTACATTTCAATTTAACCTTCCTTGTAGTCTTCTTCCAATATACTTAAATTGGTACTTGCAAAAGGGTATAAAAATATATCTGAATCTTCATTAAAACCTGTGTATCATTTAATTCTCAACAAATGCATTTATATATATACACAGTTCAGCCAAGGATTTTTTTTAATGATATTTAAAACCTGCATCTTAAAACTCTTTTTTATAGTTTACAATATTATATATTTCTAGGTTTATAAAAGAAAGGGATTTTTGTGAAATTTGAAATACAATCTGAACAGTGAACTCACTAGAGGTTTATAAGAAATATAAAATACTGCTAGATTAATGGGCTGACAATATTAGAGGTTTATAATTATAAACGAAGTACACTTGTTTTAAGAAAAAAGAAACTGTCCATTAAAGAAGAATAGAAAATAATGAAAGGTTTACATCACAAATATCCTTTTTTCTAAATATCACAAGAAGGTAATGATAGTGTGTAGAAATGCTAAAGGCTAGATTATAGTTTCTATAAGTTAAAGATTGATATCTATAATTCAATAAACGGTGAAAATCAAACGACTACACCAGGCTCTGTTTTATATCATGATGGCACCTCAGACAATATCTTTATATAAGATAAGATTATAACTTTTAATGCAACTTACTGAGCTGTGTAACAAATTAAGACATGAGCACATTTCAATGTCAGAATGAAATGGATGTATTATTTCATTTCTAAAACTATTAATGTAATTGGGTATTGTACCATGTATTGTAACAAATGTACATCTCATCCTAAAATGTCTTATATACAATGTATTCTAACAAATGTACGTTCCAATGTCTCTCTTTAACTATTGCTGTAATTCTGACCCATTCCAATGGCTCTCTAAAACTATTACTGTAATTCTGTTATGTTACATTGTATAGTGTACATCCCAATGTCTCACTGAAACTATTACTGTAATTATGTTTCATGCCAATGTCTCCCAAAACTATTACTGTAATTATGTTATGTTATATTGTAAAGTGTACATCCCAAAGTCTCTCTAAAACAATAACTGTAATCCTGTTATGCTATATTGTAAAGTGTACATCCCAATGTCCCTCTAAAACTATTACTGTAATTCTGTTATGTTACATTGTAAAGTGTACATCCCAATGTCTCTCTAAAACTATTACTGTAATTCTGTTATGTTACATTGTAAAGTGTACATCCCAATTTCTTTTTAAAACTATTACTGTAATTCTGTTATGTTACATTGTATAGTGTACATCCCAATGTCTCTCTGAAACTATTACTGAAGTTCTATTATGTTACATTGTAAAGTGTACATCCCAATATCTCTCTAAAACTATTACTGAAGTTCTGTTATGTTACATTGTAAAGTGTACATCCCAATGTCTCTCTGAAACTATTACTGAAGTTCTGTTATGTTACATTGTAAAGTGTACATTCCAATATCTCTCTAAAACTATTACTGAAGTTCTGTTATGTTACATTGTAAAGTGTACATCCCAATGTATCTCTAAAACTATTACTGTAATTCTGTTATGCTATATTGTAAAGTGTACATCCCAATGTCTCTCTAAAACTATTACTGTAATTCTGTTATGTTACATTGTAAAGTGTACATCCCAATTTCTTTTTAAAACTATTACTGTAATTCTGTTATGTTACATTGTATAGTGTACATCCCAATGTCTCTCTAAAACTATTACTGAAGTTCTATTATGTTACATTGTAAAGTGTACATCCCAATATCTCTCTAAAACTATTACTGAAGTTCTGTTATGTTACATTGTAAAGTGTACATCCCAATATCTCTCTAAAACTATTACTGTAATTCTGTTATGTTACATTGTAAAGTGTACATCCCAATGTCTCTCTGAAACTATTACTGAAGTTCTGTTATGTTATATTGTAAAGTGTACATCCCAATGTCTCTCTAAAACTATTACTGTAATTCTGTTATGTTACATTGTAAAGTGTACATCCCAATATCTCTCTAAAACTATTACTGAAGTTCTATTATGTTACATTCTAAAGTGCACACCCCAATATCTCTCTAAAACTATTACTGAAGTTCTGTTATGTTACATTGTAAAGTGCACACCCCAATATCTCTCTAAAACTATTACTGAAGTTCTGTTATGTTACATTGTAAAGTGTACATCCCAATATCTCTCTAAAACTATTACTAAAGTTCTTTTATGCTATACTATACATCCCAATGTCTCTCTAAATCTTTTTAGAGTTATGTAACTGTATTGTTACAAATGTAGGCCTACATGTCAATGCCTCTACAATTGATGTAACAAACAGTTGTTTCAATAGAGATCAGAATACTTAAATCAAGCGTGTCTAGGGCAATAACCTATTACTTTTCAATATCTTCAAATTAATGGAATAATAGAAATAGACAGAAATTTTCAGACTTTTCAATTTAGCACATTAAAAGATTCAGAAACAGTATGTAAGTAAGGTAATAGTTTGCTGTAGATAATGAAAACTGTAGATCATGCTCCTTTAAAGTAAGTTGATTAGATAGTGAAAGCTTTGTTGTAGGTTGTGATAATATAATTACTATAAAAAATGTGTGAAGTCATTTATATAGTTGTAAGTGTAGAAGTATTGTTAATATGCTAAAACCAGATAACTTTCTTTGCTATGTTAAAGATAGTCTAATTATCTTATATAAACTGTTGTCTTCTCATTCTATAAATATACACCAATTACTCTATAACTAGATTCCACAAGATTTATATTATGGTAATAGTTCTCATATATTTACTGGCTTTCTAGCAGACGACTTAACAAGGGAGAGAACCTACTTCCATTACAAAGAAGTTTTTTTATTTCCAGAATATTGACGATCTCCTGCTGATTATCAATTAAAGCGGAAATAACCTCAATTCAAATCAATTTTTTCCAACATCAACTTTTGATATTTGAATTCCTTTCAGCTATTTGAACTTAAGACAAATGAAATGTCAAAATATTTTTTTTCATTATTTTCTCGCAATCTGGAATGGAAGTGACAAGAAATAAATCAAGTTGCCAAACTTACAGTTAAACATGACATCAAACTCTCTTCAAACTGTCGTTGAAATGCACGAAGATCAGAACACCATTCCAATAGTTCTCTTGCTGCATTTTGAAACCCTCCTGGTGTCAACAGATGCTGGAATGAACAAATCATAAAAGTATAGTCACTTAATGTGGGTTTGGTCAAATATTTTGATGACACAATCAATTATATAAAATAAAGAAATATTCATATACAATGTATCACTTTACAGAATTAAATTTGACATCTGTTTCTCCTATAATTCAACAAAAAAAAACACCAAAGCTTTGTCTGTTGTTACTTCAAGGGCATTATGAACATTTATCAATGCAAATACCAGTATCAGTAATAATTGGTATGGTAGCTACCACAATCTATACTTCAAGGTTAGTTGACGTAATTTAGTTTATACATAGCTGGTAGAGGAACAACCATAATCCCTCAACAAAATTTGAAAAAAATATAGAGAAAGATGTTACAAATATAATAAATGATGTTGTATTATAATAAATGATGTTGTATTATAATAAATGATGTTGTACTCAAAAGACATACTTCATGCAGTATGATAATTACATTAATGCATTTCACTCTTTAAAAAGTAATGAGGTTTGTTTTTAATCTAGAACTAAAGATAATCAAGTTTTTTGTAATTGTTGAAATATTTTCAGAGTTAAAATAATAAGTATGTATGTTTTATCTACTATCTCTTCTACAAGTTGGCTACAAGGTTTAGTGGATAAATCAAGATGTTATTATTTCCCCCAACTCCACTTCTTTTTACCTAGTCAAATATTTAGTGAGAAGTTAAGATATCTGATATCTTCTACATATTGTTGTATTTATAGCTAGACTTCCCAAAACTCTGACTCTTGTTGACTTGATTATTATGAGAATGTTAAATACACTGATACACTAGTGAGGTACTAAGTGTGCTATGAGCTGTTTTTATACACAAATCATGTGGTTAGAGGAAAGAAGAAAAGAATATAGTCAACACGGCAATCAAATCAGAGTAGTTTTTCTGTCAGAGTCTAAATCTTTCGTTATTGACATCTTACCGGCATATTATTTATATATAATGAGCTTAAAAGCTAAATAAAGTATGTAAATGCATAATGTCATAAAAAGATGTGTGGTTTCCCAAACAGTGAGATATGCCCACACAGCAACAATTTTTTAATCAGTATTAGGTGCTCAAAGCTGTGGTATCTATCATTCATTCTATATTGAAGATTTTAAGGGCAAAAACTCTAAAACCTTCTAACAAAAATTGTAACATCAAACCCAAACGACTAATTGACTAAGTCAAGGGCAATAACTGATAAATAATAAAGAAAATTAAAGGTGTCATCTATGATATCATCAAAGCATATACCAAAATACCATGTTGTTCCATAGATGTGACAGACTAGCAACTTGACAATATGCATACAAATTATATTCTGGAACCATAAACAAAGATAGCTTGCGTTGCAAGGTAACATACGCCCACTGGCAGCTGTCAGAAATAATAAAACAGTCTTTAGTGACTAAAGTACGAATTTCCTCATATTGAAGAAATTATTTCTGCTGAATAATTCCACAAAATTTTTTAAAATCAATATCAATAACCCAAATACAACAAACAATTAAATCACACAGCTCTAATCAAGGGCAAAAAACAACTTTTGACGCGTGTTTCCAAAGTCAAGGGCAATAACTCAAAAAATGTTCATCAAAAATATCTCTTGTTAGAACTTGTCCGAGATCTTATCAATTCCAATGATCACACCAAGTTTCATCAGAATCGGTTGAAAACTGTAGCTTCTATTGTGCTCACAAACAAATTTTGACGCGTTTTTGGTAAGTTAATGGCAATAACTCAAAAACATTTCATCGAAAATGCGTCAAGTTAGAACTTGTCCGAGATCTTATGAATTCCAAAGATCACACCAAGTTTCATCAGAATCGGATGAAAACTGTAGCTTCAATCCTGCTCACGAACAATTTTTAACAAATTTCAAGGCGTTCTAAGTCAAGGGCAATATCTCAAAAACCGTTCATCAAAAATATGTCAAATTCGAACTTGACTGAGATCTTATCAATCTAAAGCATCACACCAAGTTTTATCAAAATCAGATAAAAACTGTAGTCTCTATAGTGCTCACAAGAAATGTTGACGGACGGACGGACGGACGGACGGACGGACGAACGGACCGACGGACAGGGGCGACGACGATATACGACCACATATTCATGTGGGCATATAAAAATATAGTAAATATTAAAGTCTTTGTAAAACTGCTTCGATTTAATCTTAATCTTTTTTGATTGACCTCTGTCTATACAACTTTCAGATGCCCAAAAAATCTGAAAATTATTGTCCAGAAAATTTCAAAATAATGGAATCTAGGTTTGATTTGAAGACTTTCGAGCATATTCCACAATTATTTGATTGAAAGTTCTTAGTTGATAATAAATTTCGTTGAAACAACATTAAACCTAGAAGCATAGATAAACAAATAGAGGATTAAATCCATATTTGGCCACTGGCTTATTGATTATTTCAGTTAAAAAAATCATGCTACAAGCTCATCAATCCAAGAAATTATGTTGAAGTGAATAAGTCTGGATAATGTGGTCAAGGTCTCAGTGTCTATATGTCCTACAGTTATGTTACTAAAATCTCCCCAGTACTCTCTAAACAATGTCATTCAGTGCGTTTCAGATTTCCTGACAAACTGTGAAAGGTCAATAAAGAGTTATAGGGCAAAAATAACCTAGATTTGCTAATTTCCACTTATTAAAGTCAATTATATAGTACCAGTACATTTTAAGTACCAGTATATGATGTAGTAAAATTTTGTCATTTCGTCACTAGAATCGTAATGCTAACCTGTGCGATGAACTTGACCTTTAAGAATGCACTTTCACATGCTTATTGAAAAATAAAGGGTTTCCAATTTTTAATTTACCATGAATAATTGGACTGGTACAATCAAAATCTCGAAGGCACCAGCCATGGCATCCACATCTTTGTGACATTGATCAAAGCTTGACAAAATGCATGGCCGAAGACAGTGCCAACTTAGATCTTTCTCTCAACCTAGGTCCTTTTTCTAGGACTTTCAAAGTCAAATATAATTCAAAGGAACTGTGTAAACCACCATATATCAAAACTGCATTATTATGTATTATTATAAATAGGATTTAAAAGTGATATAAAGGCAGTGAGAAATACCCTCAGGAGTTGAAAGTTAATCAAGCTAATGCAAGTAATGTTTACTGTGTAACTATTGTAGTAATGTTACAGAACCTGCGTTAGTATTAGATACCGATTAAATTGGATTAGTCATGGAACAATGAATACAATACCAAATCTCTCCCGATCCTTAATTTGTCTGTCTTTTATTAGTCACATCATTCACATTATTCTAGTCCTCTTTCCATGTCACAATTAAATTCCAAACATTTTCCCTTCTTTCTGTTAAACAAATTTAGATGCTGCATTATTTTCAGCACTAATCTTTTTCTTAATGTTTGATATTTTTTATAATGTCATTTAAATTTTCATCATCCAAGCTATTAGCATCTCATATTGTATAGTTTCTATTACAACTATTGTTACATTTTGATGGGATTTTCAGAGATTAGAGTGGAAAAAAGCCATAGAAATAGATGTCATTAGACCAAGTGATCACGTAAATGAGATAGTTGTATATCTAATAAAGGAAAAATGATTTTAAAAGCTTTCTTTGTATTCCACAAACTTCCTTTTTGTCTCAGGTAAAATCAAATTATTTAATGTGTCTAATATTAGGCTGAAACAGCAGACTATAAGCACTTGATATACATATCATGATTATATACATTCAACAAGAATTCCATATATAGTTTTAGAAAGGAGACAAATAAAATCTTGATAAAATATTAAAACCAATTATGTTAATTTATTAACGAAAACTTATTGGATGGATACCCAGAATGCACAGCTATGAATACAAATTACAATCACTAACTACTAAAAAATGCTGACTTGATTAAAGTTCAACACAGTAAATTGATTGCTAATCAAAAACTGTTATCAGACATGGTAATTTGACTGCTACCACGTGTATCTAAGATGACAATATGGTTGCTACTTAAAATGGAAATCTGGTTACTACTTTAATATTTGATTCTACCAAATGATAGCAATTCAATTGTTACTCAAATACAGCAATTGACTGCTTCTCTGATATGGCAAGTTCACTACTACTAAATGATGATTTGCATACTACCATATCTGGCAGCAAATTGATGGATACTAAATGATGATCAATCAATACTACTGGACTAAATAAGGAAAAATTGACCGAGACTAATTAATCATACTAAATGATTATAAATTTATGATACTAAATGGATGTCAATGATGATTAAATGATTGTAAATTGATCAAAATTAAATGATGGAAGTGATGCTATTTGAGGGTTGTAAATTGATTTTGCCTAGATGTTAATGATGATTGCAACTAAACGATGATGAATTGATTGCTACTAGGTAGTAGATTTGTCGATACTAAATGAATACTAATTTATTATGAATTGATGAAACTAAATGATGGAAACCAGTGCTGTCTTATTGATACTAGATGATCATAACTTGATTGCAGCAAGACAATTGATTGAAGCAAAAGTAAATTGATAGATACATATTGATGTAATTTGATGCCACAAAATGATGAAAACAGTGGCGTTTTGAAGAATCATTCAGTGAGGGGGCTGAGTTAGGGCCACAATGCAATTTTCCCCTATATTCAATGATAAGAAATTTGAAAATGGGGGAGGGCGAGCCTAAATACTGGAGGATGGCGCCCCTCCTCTCTTCCTGGATGATAATACTTTGTATTCACTCACAAAAAAAGCATGATTTCCAGTATCAATGAAGTATTGAATTTTCAATCAAATTGAAACACAACTCACCTGTTTGATACAAAGCAGCCGGTCATTTGTTTGATTGACATGTCTTTCCATTTCAATCATTGCTTACAACTTTATGTAAATGACCACACTGGGAGGGTTTTTTCATCTTACTTTTCACATCATATAAAATAAACTATTCCCTCTTCTTCTTTACTGCCTGAAAAGATTAGAGAATATCTTAATAAATAGCCAGATAAAACTTTAATTTAACAATGATTAAATAAACATTTTTTAACTTAATACTCAAAATTCTGAGGATCATTATCTTTAAGTAATATTTACAAGAAATTGATCCTTTGTAAATCTTTTTTTTTCTTTAATATCTATCAATAACAAAGCACATACCAATAGGATTAGAAATCTAATACAATAATCAATTTCTATAACACCTGAAATATCTTATTCATCATATGTAATTGACCCGAAAGCTTGAAATCTATTTAAACTGATCCCACACCAGTCAATATAGATCAGTACTTAACAAAACTAATATTTAGCACCTTACTAAGGATGATTATAGAAAACACTGTAAGGATTGGTAGATATTATTGAGGTGTTAATATATGGAAAACAAGGTATAACTAATACAGTAACATGTGGTATCACCAACACTTATACATGTTAACACCCATTTACGTCTTTATTGATCTTCAAACTTTCATTTAACTTGGAGAACTGCTGTTACACAAACTATCATGGCACTTTACTTCTATTCATGATAACAACAAGACCCAAATTATTTATTGTATATAAATATAATGAAGTTAGTTACAGTACTGGCTGATAGAATGTAAATTGTGACAAGTGAATACAGGTGCTATACTGCACTGTTAATGTTCAAGATTTCTAGATTTACAACTGATAATGTTCCAGTTTTCTACATTGAGCCAATCCATACTGCACTCATAATGTTCCTGATTTAGATAAATATTTAATGCATTGATAATTGTCCAGATGTCTGGATTAACAAATATATTTACTGCACAGATAATGATACAGATTTCTAGATTTACAATAAACTACACTGCACTGATAATGTTACAGATTTCTATATTTTCAACTTTTGATATTTACTGCACTGATAGTTTTCCAGTTTTCTACACTGATGTTTTAGTTTTCTAGATTTACAATAATCTATAGCACACTGATAATGTTCCAGTTTTATACATTGAGCCAATCCATACTGTACTGATAATGTTCCAGATTTCCCGATTTAGATTAATATTTATTTTACTGATAATTGTCCAGATGTCTGGATTTACAAATATATCTACTGCACTGATAATGTTCCAGATCTCTAGATTTCCAATAATCTATACTGCACTGATAATGGTCCAGATCTCTGGAGTTATATATATATTTAATACACTGATAATGTTCCAGATTTCTAGATATGAGTAATCTATATTGCATTACTAATTTTACAGTCTTAGAAACATTTTCTAGTTATTAGATTGTTCTATATTGTATAAATATGGTTTAAGTGACAACATTGTGCAATACTTCAGAATTAACCACTTAATTTTTCAGAATCCTACACAAAAACCACAGAACCAGAAAATATAAATCAGGAAGTTATAGAAATAGAATTATCTATAAATACATAATATTTCTGAAGGTTTATCTATAAATACATAGGCTTGTCCTCCTGTCAGCTTAATTACACAGAAATTAAATGCCAGTAGGAGTTTTTCTGAGGAAAAAAAAAATCAAATAGGAATGCTTTAATATCAAATTCTAATACAATGTCTTAAAGGACATCAATGTAGTTTCTTTATTTTAAAAGGAATGTTTATTATTCCATTCAATAATCCATTTGCAATTGTTAAAATTACAATATAGATAATATTGTTCACCTATATAAATTGACACCAATACTACTTTATAGGACAATCAATATGTCAAATAATTTACTTATTTATGCTTGAACTATTATAAATGGAGTATTAAAGAAAAGTAAACTTCTTTTAATTTTTTTGCCCTAACCCCTCACTTAAGCCCTAAGAGTACATTAAATGGAAAGAAAAAAATTTTGAGGCTATATAGTGCATGTCAAAATGTATCCACTTGTCACTTAATTCTAATCCTTATTTTTTTATCTGATAATGGATCATGCTACAGTTTTGACAGTTTCACACACAGTAGATTTCAAGTTAAAATTGATCAAAGAGTGATTTTTATGAAACCCTGTTCATGACAAAATTCGCAATTAAAAGACTGTAGGATATTTTGTTAAACAATGGACTAAGGATAGTATGAAAATATCAATTACATCGAGCAATAGAAATTATCAAAATAGTTGAGATCATGTTTAACACTATTCTTTCAAATAGGTAATAACTATTTATATTACAAAAAAACAATGTCTATTGAACATCAGATTCTAATTTTGAAAATAAAGGTAAATTAAAATGAAACTTGATCTATCAGACAGGATTGCCTGAAAGTTAATTTCATACAACCAATTTTCAAATTAGATTGAAAATAGAATTTATATGCACGATGACATTTTACTGAGATTATAATTTACAGGTAGATATAAGTTAAATTATTTTAAAATAATATTGTATATTTATTGTAACAGATGTTAATACCTTTACTCTAAAAAATCAATAAAATTTATTCAAATCATTTTTATTTTCACTTAAAAATTCAAATATGTAAAAATTGTTAACTATTCAAAAATCACATCCTGAACTCTTAGTTCTGGTTTGGTCATTTTAAATTTGGGGTGGGAAAACTTTTAAACTAAATTCAAAACCCCAAAATTAATATTGTGTATAATAAACTATTTTCATAATTTTGAACATTAAGTAGACAAGAGATTAATCCCCAATCCCTTCCACTCTCCTCACAATTTCTCTTTTTAATAAGAAAGTGCACAATTCATGTCTAACAATTTCTGACCATTATCACACAATTTCTTTTCAGAATATATTTACAGGCGTAACATGTAATTTATATGCTCCCTTCTATCACTGACAGTGGCTGGGGATAAAACTAAGACTAATTAAATATAGTTTAAAATATAAATCTTTAATTAATATGCAGTAAAATCTGATATGTAACATTAAACATGAATTATTGATAAATTGATCATATCACCTACTACAACATGCAATACATGAAGACACCTTGGATTATGAAAGGGATTGTAATAAGTTTTTTTTAAACTTCTTATGTGTGTCCGGGACACTGATATCATCAATAAAACTAACAGTGGACATGCAATTGGAATTGTGCAAACGGATGTTATCAGTGGTCCCTATACACACAAATTTTTAGAAAACCTCTTGACAATCTCTTTAACTTGCAAAATGGCAAGAGAAAATATGCTGGCTATTCATTGACCCTACTCTACCCTACTCCCACCCTCAAGGGCTGAAAGTAAACATATATGTTTTTTTGTGGAAATGGGATACTTAATTACATTATGTATGGATTTAAAGCATATGTATGCAGTGTAACAATACATAACATCATAACAAGAATATGTACTTCTGTAAGACACTTTCTGCCAGTTAACAAACTTTAACCTAATTTTTTATTTAGTTTGGAATAAAACCATGCCGACAATCAACCCTAATTCTTAATACTCAACAAAATAAACTGAAACATATTTGAACACTCTGAACATTTAAATATACCCGACTGTTAATTTGTTAAAGTCTATTAAGAACAGTTAAAAATTAAACAGAAAACATGTTTTAACAGAATGTTGGTGAAAATCAATAAACGGTAATCTCAACTATCAAGTTTTAATTATAAAAATCTCTAGATTTATGTTTAATTTATAAACATCATAATCAATATGTTAGAAAGTGATTTGGGAATTATTTTATGGCCTCTGGTCTCGTTATATGTCCTAGGGCACCAGGCAAACAATAAAGAAATGTAAGAAATCGCCAGCAGGTCTAGTAATAAAATGTATTTAGTCGATGTGTATGAATTTAACTCATGCTATGTAAATATTAACTTTGTATTTTCTAAATGAAATATTAAGCGAAGTAGAAAAATCAATCAATACTAACAAGCAATAATGAGCAATGTTGACTGTCAAATCCACATATGTGTATACGTATAATAAAATGTGTCAATATCATGGTTATACATGATGAATTACCGTTTCACAACTTGTCACGAATCAATACCATTTCTCTACAAATCTATGTTGGGTGCAAACACTGGCAAGTAAACTTGATCAGAGCCAGAGAAAAGTTAAAGAGCTCAGTTTAATCATCTCTAGCTATTAAATAAATCTTTGCTTGGAAATCAAATCTTATTTCAGTAGAAGAACTGTTGCCTGTAAAAACATTCTACCATATTGAATTAAACTAGAGCTAATGTAAGATTTTTTTTCTCTCAAGAGGACAACTAAAAGAAAGCTATAAATATCTCCAGTCCGATTTATATCATCATAGTTAATAATGAAATAATACACTTTTTTTATAAACTGATACATATTAGTAATAATCAAGGTAATCTGTATATTGGAATAATTCATGTTATTAGATAATTAAATCAGTTGGTTGATTATATTCAACATGATATTAATCTGTTAAATTCTCACTAATCTATTTATCATGAATATTACTGATCCTCCTAAATGTTTAATGAATTGATAAGAGTCTATCAGATCAATGATTAAATACTGACTGCTGCATAACTGATAAATTTACACTTTAATAATAACACTAGCCTTATACACACTCGTTACTAGTTTCAGCAGTAAAATGACAATTAATGGTTATTAGTAAGCATTTTATTGACAAAATAAGAAATGTCAAAATGTTCATATGATGTCATTTCACCCTCCAACATGACTCAATATCACTCCTGAGACAATTTGATTTGCATACCATTAACATTTAATATAAATTAAAGCAGTTTTTGAAAATCTATCTGCAAGCAATTATTGAATTTTTTCGCCTTATTCGCCTTATTTCGCACACTGAAAATGTTAAATAGTAATGCTCATGCAATATCATTAATTAAATGCAAAATTTAAAACAGAATTTGAATAAAAAAGAAAAGTATTAATACCTGATAGTGTATAATGA